CTATTAGGTTGGAGGCCATCGCTATTAGGTTGGAGGCAATCGCTATTAGGTTGGAGGCAATCGCTTTTAGGTTGGAGGCCATCGCTAGTAGGTTGGAGGCCATCGCTAGTAGGTTGCAGGCCATCGCTAGTAGGTTGGAGGCCATCGCTAGTAGGTTGGAGGCCATCGCTATTAGGTTGGAGGCCATCACTATTGGGTTGGAGGCCATCGCTATAGTAGGTTGGAGGCCATCGCTAGCGTAGGTTGGAGGCCATCGCTATTAGGTTGGAGGACATTGAGGCCATCCCTATTAGGTTGGAGGCCATCGCTAGTAGGTTGGAGGCCATCGCTAGTAGGTTGGAGGCCATCGCTACTAGGCTGGAGGCCATCGCTAGTAGGTTGGAGGCCGTCGCCATTAGGTTGGAGGCCATCGCTAGTAGGTTGGAAGCCATCGCTATTAGGTTGGCCTCCTCCCTATTAGGTTGGAGGCCATCGCTATTAGGTTGGAGGCCATCGCTGGTAGGTTGGAGGCCATCGCCTCTAGTTTGGAGGCCATTGCTAGTAGGTTGGAGGCTATCGCGTAGGTTGGAGGCCATCGCTATTAGGTTAGGTTGGAGGCCGTCGCTACAAGGTTGGAGGCCCTCGCTATTAGGTTGGAGGCCATCGCTATTGGGTTGGAGGCCATGGCTATTAGGTTGGAGGCCATCGCTATTAGATCGCTAGTAGGTAGGAGGCCATCGCTATTAGGCCTTTGTTGGCCAAGGTTTCGAATCAAGACTGAGCTCCGAACGCAGGCCTTCGTGCCATTTGTGGTTTTGGACTTGCTTGGGGATGCGCCGGTCGTACAGTGGCATTGGCAGCCTTTGTCAAATAATGCACAGCTCACTGCATCGTTGGCATCGTTGGGCAAAGTCAAAGTGCAAAGTCTCCTGATAATCTCATGTCTTGGTGGTTTGGGTATGGCCCAACCTTGGCATCTTCCTGGCCCTGAACACAGGCACTGTCTTGAGGACAACTTGAAAGAAGAATCCAAGAAGGCAAACTGAGGAAACTTCTTACGCTCTCTTTTCCGCTCCAAAAACCATCGGCTCAACCAAAGGAATGCCAGCATCCCCTCAGGGCCTTCAGGTGCGCAAAATGAGCGAAGACTTCCAGGAAAAGTCAGTATTGACAACCCACAGCGCATTGTCTGTGAACAGCTCAGTGCTCCATACCGGTCCACAAATCAGCATGACATGTATGGGGATAGCTCACACGCTATCCCGCCTACCAATTTCTCAGTTCCTTGTAGTTCATCCAATGACAATGACCTTGGCCATCAAGAGTGTAGGTCGTCCAAAAGCAAACAAGCACATGTTACTTCATTTGTCACCGGCGCCGGTGATATCTGGTCATTACCGCACGAACACATTTTTGCGACCAAACATCACAGTCTCACTACTTGTGCACTGCACTTACACGAGCAGCTCAATTGGCTCATTGCTGGCGACCTGTTGCTCAGCCGAGTCAGTCCAGCCATCCTTGGAAGCACGCCAACTGAGAAGAACAAGCAAAAAACGATGGAGAGGAAGGAACTAAGCACAAACGTCACATGCATGAGAATCACACCGGAGCCTCTGTATGTCTCTGTATGCCTCTGATGATAAACGACTTGTCAGTCCAAACCCGCACAAATCGCACATCCACGGCTCTACAAACTGGTCAAAGGCATCATCATCCATGGAAGTCAGTTCAGAGTCCGTCGGCAGCAGCGGAGCGAAAAGACCACCACTCAGGAGCCGATTCAAAAGTCCTCGGAGCTGAGCCGATGAAAAGCCGACGCTTTTGGCGTTGCAGTCTATGGCTAGGGCAGGTGTCTATGGCACATGTTGATGGAGTCGGCAGAATTGCAGTCAAGAGTCGCTCAGCAGATTGAGGTCTAAATTGAGGCACCTCGCTGAAAATGTTTCCCTCTAGAAACCGACCCTGACAAGCTTCCCAGACTTCGACCGCACAAGTAGCTTGGAGGCCATCGCTAGTAGGTTGGAGGCCATCGCTAGTAGGTTGGAGGCCATCGCTAGTAGGTTGGAGGCCATCGCTAGTAGGTTGGAGGCTATAGCTATTAGGTTGGTTGGAGGCTATAGCTATCTGCATGTTTTTACGTGAAAAAAAATGGACTCCAAGGCTCAGGCCATGTGCCCACTGCCATGCACCGTGGCAAATGAGAGGCCATGCTCCTGATGGTACAGTGACTGGCACCGCGTGCCGCGTGGCCGACACCGTGTGCCGAGGCGCGTAGTTCACAACATGCCCTCCGTATTGAGCACCAGCCGGCCGCAATTCTAAGTTGGGACCAAACAGATTTGGCTTCCTTAGAAAAACAAGAACACTCAAAGCCCCAAAGCTGTAAGCTATTTCCATAGAAACTCACAGGCAGGCCCAAGATCTGTGGGCGAATTGTCCGAGCAGCTGTGTCAATGTCTCTATTGCGGCGGCAGATTTGTTATAAAACCATGGCCTGTAGTGGCCTCGCCAAAGTGACGCTCTGATACCCATCGAAAGTCTCCCCGTAGAAAGCATGGTGTCTGATAGGCAAAAACAACAGAAATTATCATTTGGGTCATTTGACTGAGTCCTGCACCTCCTGGCAGAATACCAAACCCAACCTTTTCAATGGCGGTGCGCGTGCCCTCGTACGAGACACAGGGATCTGTGTCTCCATTGAAAACCTCGGCCATGTGCTTCCACGTGCAGTCAGCTGCTTTGAAATCTGATTTTGGGCCACAACATCGTTGACTGACCAAGTAGCAATGGTCGTAGTCATCTTCGGAGCAATTCTTCGGTAGAAGTCCACCATGCTGGGCTTGTCCGGGGCCTTGTTGCAAGCGTTGTAATTGCTGGTGTATTGCCAGCCATCGGGTGGACCAGGCCAAGACTTTGTTGGAGCATCCGCCACGTGTAAGGCATTTTTGACATCTGCTCGGTTCATCCACTGCGCTGTGTAGAAGTCGAGCGTCTTGGGCGCTGTCCAATCAAGGGAAGAAGAGTCTGAGAATAGATCTAGCTCGTTGATATAGGCCTTTTTCCAGCTTTGCGACAATCCACGAGAAGTGGTTGCCAGGAACTTTCGGTAAGCCAAACGGCATTCACCCTCTGGTGCCTAAGTCCATTAGCCGAGTGAGTCCATGAATCATCTCCAAGATTGCAGAACAATATTTGAGGATTGGTTGAAACTGTTTGCTAAGAATATCAGCAAGAGACTGCTGCAAGAAGGGCGCTCCTCGACCATTGACCACTTTCTCGATGCCATGAGCCCTGGTTCAGGAATGATGGATGCCTGAAGAGACTGGCATAGTCATATCAATGATGCTTTGCTTCATGCTCTCCTGATCAATCAGCCTTATTGAACAGTTGTTCCAAAGGAAGTCAAAGTCCCCATCAGGGACGAAGCCATGCTTGTGCGCATACCAAAGCCTCAGATCCGAGACCCGTTTTGCTTGGTGCCCAGTGCGAACGTGAGACTGAGACACGTTGAATCTTCCATTAGTTCAAGCTACATGTCCATCGATTCATGCTGAGATGGCCAGTCTGTGCAGGGATCGCCCACTGCGATTCCTTGCAACATTGACTCAGGGGGTTGCAAAAGCGGCATTTCTTGACAGGTGTTGCGGGGAAAAACACATCAATGGTTTCAGTCCAATACAAGGCTCCAGTCCTCGGTTTCAGCTGAAACAGGCTCAATCAGCTCAAGAAAAGAAGTCCGACCACACTGTTCAAAGATCCACATGACAGGCCAATTTGGTCCGATTGACTTTAGGCCAAGGCGGCCAAGCTTCATTTTGATATCTTTGGCGTTCTCAAGGATCTCGTTTGTCAGGGTAGGAATGTATACCTTGAGAGCTCGTGTCCCAAGACGGTTTTCTTGATATAGTATCTGCTGAGGAGAAAAAATATGATATGCTATGATATGCTGCATCTGAGGTGCTCCAGCATAGGACTCACCTGCAAATACAAGTTTCCCGCTGGGGCATTGGCACCTGGTCTTATGTAGGATTAGTTTAGAGTTTAGTCTGTAGGGCGCAAACATTGCGCAAAAGACCTGCCTGTGATGAAGAATTTGTTGTCCTTGAACTCCGGGAACCTTGCTTCTAGCAAGCCACCAACGGCAACAATCACAACAATCGCTCCCGATATCATCTTCACAAAGCTGAAGAGACGACAAAACCCATTCCACACGTCTCTTGCTAGTAGGTTGGAGGCCATCGCTTCTAGGTTGGAAGCTATTGGGTTTCCTTCGACACGTCTCTTGCGCCAAAAATCTGTGACGGGTCACTTCACAAAAAAGTCCTGCAGTGCTGCGCGTGCAGCTGCAGCTGTGGAGATATCAGTGTTATTGCAATTGCCACCTGCCTCGCTTGGTGTACAAAGGGCAAACGAAAACGAGACCAGGGGAAACAAGCAAAGCTACCAAATCTGACCATATTGAGGCCTTCATTGCTGCACAGTAAGAGAATCCCACACCACCAGGACCTTGGATAAGCCGAGCAATAGGATTGTAGATGTCTGAGCTTCTTGCAGTCAATAGCGATGGCCTCCAACCTAACAGCGATCTCCTTCAAGGAAAGCAACTCTCAAGGATCAGCATGTTAGCCTGCTTGGTCCAGCTGTAGGGATTTCTCATCAATCCACCCGTTGCATTGATCAGGAGAGGTCCATGCTCCTGGACAAGATCATCGACAAGCGTGTGCGCTCTCGACTCTTTCTGCTCCGAGTCAGGCTCCTGGAGCATGCCCAGAATAGAGCTGCTTCCAGGACCTCCATTCCTTGGAGCTATCTACGCACACATTCCGAGAGTTCTTTCACCTTCAGAAGGTCACAAAGTAGTCTTCACTACCTGTCTGGCCCTAAAGCACTCAAAAGCACTGTACTGCACAGCACACGTGAAGTCAACTGACATGAGAAAACGAAGCTAGCAAAATCTAGGAACCAAAGCATTGAGGCCGCTTCTGCGTCCAAGCCTAGTAGCTACTTACCCCTTACTACTAGCTACTTGATAGCTCGCCTCTCCAGCCTATCCCCCGCTCAGAGCCTGACAGCCTAAAGAGAGTAATATGTAATAACATGTACATGTATGCTTTCAAGGCTCAGCCACAGAACGACCGGAAGCTCGTTTGCCTTCGTTGCATCGTCAGCCATGGCAAACCAATAGTGGAGTTTCGTCCCATCTTCTGCCGCGCTAGCATCAAGGAAGCCAGAGAACTGGGGAGCAGGAGGCTTGCCAAAGCCTGGAAGATCCAGCACCTGCATTCATTGTTCTGCATGGCTGTGCGTTTCCTGGTATTCAAATTATAGGTTAGCTTGGAAGAACGAGCCAAACTGGCACCTCCTCATTTGCAGGTGCTGCATAGGCACAAACAAAAGCAGCGCAAAGAAAGCTTTTCATTGCAATCAAACCCAAACGACTTGAAGCACGATATTATGGCTGCGGCGGTGAATATGGACCCCTGGTACCCTCATGCTATGAAAGTATTGAAACCAGCTGCTGCGAATCCACTATAAATGCACTGACTACTTCTTCAAGCAAACTTACAGTTTCTGTAAACCACACTTTCTACCATTGTGCTCTGGGCCAGGCTCAGATTCATACCTTTCAAGCGCAGGCCGACACGGTTGGATCCCCAAGCCATGGAGCCAGAAGGGCAGAGTGAAGACTCGCTGTGTTGAGCAGCAAATTGAACAAAGAATAATACAGCAATACATGTGTTGAGCTTCGACGAAGCCTCTGGATAGTTGGCATTCCAGGGTTTGAAGCCATTCCGTTCCAGTGTGAAACTGTGAGGTGGAGAACCGCTGCTTGAGACAAGGAACTCAATGGGGAACGCTTCCAGCATCTATACCAGGAAAGCACATCACTCTTCGTTGACCGAGTGCATCTGCGACACAAAGACATCACTTGCTCCGAGCCTCGGATGTCTTCACCTTGTCGATCCCTGCAACACGTCCTCTCGATTTCTGCTTGTCTAAATGCGAGAGGACATGATGCTGCTGTTTCCCACCTGCCGCGCTGGCAGAGCTTGGTTCGCGCGGGGCAGCTGGGCTGATCAAATGTCTCACCTCAGCGGAACCCACAAAACGACCAACGATCGCGAAACGACATGCCTTTAGAGTCAGGCCTTTGCAGCTGCGCCACTTGTACCTTTCAACAAGGAACATGGATACACACCATGACGAAATGTGCCACTGAACCTATGCACTGACCTATTTGTCTGCCTTTTGCTCCAAAACTGTGATTGAAACATGTACTAATTGTGCAATACATAGATTCCTTAAGTTTGAAGGAATTTTTAAGACTTTAGGAGATCTTTCTGGATCGTTGCACCTGATACAGACGAGCTGCTCGGCTGGTATTGTTGACTCGCCTTGTTACGGTCTTCGGCCACCAAGCTGAAGATTGCATGATCCCTACCCCATACCATGGCAAGCCTGAAAAAAATAAATTGCATGTTTCTTGACAGAATCTTACTTGCCATTTCGGACTTGGGCCTGAAAATGGAAGGCATACCTGTTCAAGCACTTTCCTGAAGATAGCTAAGATAGCTGGGCAGTCTCCACAAAGGTATGTTATAGTCACATGTTTCCAAGGGTTCAGGCAAATCCAACTTACTTGTTTCAGGCGACTGGCGAGTCCAGTTGAAACAGGCTAGTCAGTCACTATACATGTCCTTACAATGTTACCCCTGCGATGTACGAAGTTAGAGGTTGTCACGGGGAAAGGGCCCCAAAACATCATAGGACCGGATAACCCCACATGTTAAAGTTTAAGGCAAATCAGAGGTGAGGGGATGGAAGAAGCAAAGGTTTGCAAAAATAATGCTATACTAGCGTAGACCCCAAACAGTTTGTGCGTTTATGAAGTAGGCCACAAGAACGAACTGTCAAAGAGTCAACGGCTCAAACCGTTCCAGTTCGCTGTGATCAACTCGGACCTTATGGGCTTGTTTCAGCACTTGCCTCCATTGGTTCAAGGTGAGAACCGGCAGTTCAGACGAAAACAGAACATATGCAAATTCACTGAATATGGTGCGTTGTATTGACATGTGGTTTAACCATGCTTTGTTTGGCTAGAAGATGTTGAAAGTTTTCAACCCACCATGAGTTTGTGAGGTTAGATAAGCAAGAAAAAGAAGGGAGACAAGTGAAGCAACAAGAGACAAGTGTAACAAGAAGGGAGACAAAAGCAGAAAGATCACCAGCGAAACAAGTGGAAGACAAGTGTAAAATCATCCGGCCGAGTGTGTCCGAGCATGGAGACAAGCAAAGAGACAGAAGGGAGACAGCAGGGAGACAAGTGGGAGACAAGTGAAGCGTCCTCTTGCCAAGAGTGTAAGCATGGAGCAGGCGAAGAGGCAAGCGGGGACAAGTGTAAAAACATCCGGCCAAGCGGCCAAGCATATCCAAAGTAGGACGGGACAAGTGGAGACAAATTAAACAAGAAGGGAGACAAGCAGGGAGACCAGCGTACAATCATGTGGCCGAGAGTCAAACCATCCGGCCATGTGTATCCAGAGAAGGCCGAGACAAGTGGGAGAGCAGGGAAACAAGTGGAGACAGGTGTAAAAACATCCGCAAGTGTATACAGAGTAGGCAGACCTTTCAAAGGAGTAAGAACCCCTCACATGTAAACCTGTTTGGGGGAAAAAGTGAGAGTGGGGGTTGATAGTCAATGAGCTAGTGAGAGTGTTGCTGATGGTCCCATTCCACACCTCCTTCACTGCCCGGGGAAAGGGACCCAAAAAGGGGAACTGTAACTTTGCGCTTGGCAGGCTCCAAAGCCACCTAAACCTCCCATCCTCGGCCCTAGAATCTTCAACATGCGCAAGTTGTATTCTCCATGGCTCCAAGTGGGGGGGGTGGAATGTTGCCACCTTCTCCAAAAAGATACAACTTCTAAGTCTGAGTTTTTTGAAGAGCGGGGGTAAGCTTGCCCTCAATTGTACGGCCTATGAAGCGTCAAGGAACTAAGTCTGAGACTGTCGCTCCAGCCGTTGATCTTGGCAAGGGCATTGGTAGGCGTCGCTTTCGGGCGCCTCCCAACAAGTAAAGAACGAGCAATGCCCAACGCAGAAACCCCACATATCCCAAATTCCACAGCACAGTGACGTCTACGTTCTCTGCTGACGAGCGGGAATCTAGGCAGTACATGTTTGACGACTTCAAGCCTAATCCTCCAGAAAGCAACCAAGCGCTCAGCACTTTTCACGTTGTGGTGCAAGTCAGGTTGTTTTCCACCAGTCATCCTCCAGCTTTGCCAAAATGACCTTCCAGGTATTTACCTGGGTGGGTGGGTGTGGAATTTTTAGCACCCTCCTAAGGGGGATGGCAGCTTGAGCCAAGGATTTAACATCCTCCAAAATGGCCAGGCAGCCACCGTGCCCCCCTAGGCTCGAATTCTTGTCCTACGCAAAACACTTCGTTCTTTGTTACACAATAACTTCAAGCCTAATCCTCCAGAAAGCAAGAAAGCACTCTGCACTTTTCACGTTGGTTGTTTTCCACCAGTCACCCTCCAGCTTTGCCAAGACGACCTTCTGCGCGTAGCGCTAAGCTGGGATCCTTCTGCTTGGCCCTGAGCTCCAGGATGTCCTTACACTACACTTGGTGCAGCGGTTCATTGAAGCCGAAGACAAAGTTTGAAGAACCATACGGCCAAATTGTCTTCCAAGTGCTTACTGGGGATGAGATCGGTTGTTTCATGTTTTGATGAACCGTTCCATCTTTCGAATCACCATCCCTGGAAGGAGACAGCTGGTCGTAGTAGCCACTTCAGTCCACTTCTTCATAGAGTCTTCTAATTGGTCTTGCGCCTTCTTCAAGCGCTCAATCTCCCGCTTCCGTTTTGACGCGGTTCTCTGTTGTTCTTCCTTTAAGCCTGCCAATGCATCCTTTGAGGACAAGACGCAATCTCCCCCTTGTCAGGAAGTGCTCCGGATTGGGTCGAAGTGGGATTCTTGATACAGGCATGGATTCCAGAACTTCTTGAGCGTATTGCGAAAGATGTTTGATTTCCACCTGCCCAAGAATGCCACTTGTGGTACTTGCCACCCTCTTCGAATCATTTGAAGGGCGCCAGATCTCCTGCCTGAATGGCCGGAAACCTTCGCGCCGAACAGGTAGCGCCGGGCGTTGACAATCTCTGATTTCTTTGCTGCACTGCCGTCTTTCTGTCTCACTAGGAAATCTTCTTCCAAAGGCAGATCATCCACCAAGGTCTTCGAAATGAAGAAAGGGCAAGGGTGGTCCCAAGAGCAATTTTTTCTGCAAGCGCATGGTAAAGTACGAGCGACCCCTTCGCCCGATTGATCACCCTTCGACACCGTGATGTAGAGCGACACTATCTTTGCTTCTTCGTCCCATTTCAAGTTGGACCTTTCCACATTTGCTAATTCTACTTCCCGCAACATCCAGACCACTGCGAAGGAGAACAGCCACGCAGGATGTATAATAGCCTTCGCGTCGTAGGAGTTGGTTTCCTCCTGAGCCAAGCGAAGCCACGTAGCGTCATCGACCTCGGGAGCTTTCTGCGCTGGACCTTTGGCCCTGTTGATCGCCCTTGAGGTTTGCACACTGCACCTTTGAAGTTGCGCCGTCCAAGTAGAGCCCACCTCTACCACCATCAGCTTCAACTCTGCCAGGTACGCGGCGCTAGCCCCGTATCGAGCCTCCTTCAAAATTGCCCCCACTGCTTCGATGGCGTTGGTATTTAGGGCCTTGAGGTCGTTTTCGGACTTGCCCATTTCGTGCATGATGGCTTTTGCCTGATAGAGGCCTTGGTCTTCCTTGTCGAATTGGACGAAAATTCTGATCTCAAACGCTTGATGGAGTTCAACCATTTTTTCTTGTTCTTTCCGAATGCTTTCGCGATTCGAAGACCTTGTCCCCGTCTCGTCCTCACCTTCTCGTTCTCCAACTTTTCCTTGACATAGCTTGGAATATCTTCTCGGCGTTGGAGTTTGTTCTTCCTCTTGCTCACGTCTCGTTGGGTGTTCGTTGGATTGTCCTCCACGTTGTTGGCGATCAGTGCAAACTAGCCCCTCTTCTTGCTTCCATCGTATAGTCCTCTTGCCCCGAACAAAAGGTCTTCAAATGGTGGCCGTGGAGGAAAGGTGGGCTGTAGTTCAGGGTCGTCCGCTGGAGCCTTCGTGTCCTCGGGCACCTCTATAGTTCCCAAGTTTCTTTTGCATTCAACCTCCTGGTGATCAACCTCGCTAGCCCGCTTCCGAATCCAGGCCCCTCCATGATTCTCTCAGCGGCGGGGATCTCGAAGCCATCCTGTTGTTGTCTTCCAAAGTCTGGGCTCTTTCCATCCTGCACAGTGTGACGCCAGCTTCCCCAAGTGGTGAAAGAGGAGATAGTTCCCAGGCGGGTGGAGGGGAGTCCCACCTTGTAGTTGCTGGTGTGTTGAGCGCTCGTGCCCTGGATGAAGCCAGCGAGTCCTACGTTCTGAGGGTCTCCAACGGCCCCCGTCACGGCCGTCCAAGTCGGGGCACCAACCCTGAAGTGCTGCACGACATCCTGAAGGCCCTCCATTGCCATCGCCACGGCTTCGGAGGGCAACATGGAAACAGCACGCGAGGAAAAACAACCCCCCCAAGGATTTAACATCCTCCAAAATGGCCAGGCAGCCACCATCCCCCCTAGGCTCGAATTGTTGTCCTACACAAAACACTTCGTTCTTTGTTACACTTTACCGCAATACGCTCAAGTAGGAAGTATCTCCAGCAGTACGTCTTCTCTATTGAAACAAGCTGAATCGTTTGTCACAGATACTAGAGAATGTTGATGATGAAAACAGGTGCGGTGAGCTTTCAAGAGAAAAGCCTGTAAATATCATAAAGAGTGTAGCCTTTGTGCTTGCTGCCTTTCCGAACACAACGAGAATGGAAAGAACACCCTGTCAAAACAAGCGCCGCAATAGCCCTTCGGCCTAGCGTGGTGGATTCCTGGTGGCTTCAGTTCATCTCTCAAGAAGAAGCCAGTAGGAACAAAGGGCATCGCTACTAGGAGCAAGAAGCTACTAGTAGCTCCTGGCCTTACTACTAGTAACTCTCTCTCTCTCTCTCGTTCTTTTCTTGCTCGTTGCCAAGATGCCTGACTCTCCGGTTGTGACGGAACACTGGCCACTGGACGACCTAGCAAGGCTCAAGGTCAAATCACAATGACCAAGTGTTTGGACTGAGGAAAACGCTATTTGCTTCAGATTCTGCAGTACCTTCAACCAAAGCTCTGAATTACTGGCATCACTGAAGGCAATTGAAGCAAAGAGCTCCTTCACCAATGATTTGAAATGTCTCCTATCGTTTCCCTGCCTTCCCGCTTCGGGCTTCGGCTACGGCCTGCCAGGAAAATAACTGAATGGACAGGAACAAGGAAAGCTCTACACCCGAAGGTTCTGCAAAACCTCTGGCAGAATTGTGGAGTCAAGTTGTCAAGGGCAGTGAAGTGATTGGATTCAGCCTGGTGCGGGGCGCTCGGGAACGCCTCTTGCAAATCCCAGCCGCCTGACAAAGCCACGTCATGTATGATATAAGAGGGTCTTGCCTTACCTTCCTTTCTTCATCTCTCAATTCTAATTGAATTCTACTAGCGATGGCCTCCACCCTAGTAGCGATGGCCTTCAACCTATCTTGTCTTTTAGTTTTATTCATTCTGTTCTATGTACACCACATATTGCTGCTCGCCCCTTGCCTGTCATTGCTCCGGGGGTGTTCGGCTTGTCTGACTCGTCGTCTGGAGCTGCTCCGGTCTCGGCGCTCCGCTCCACTCCGGTCGCTGTGCCCTCGACGTCGGTCGCTGCTCCGCTCGCGGCTCCGGCGCTCGCGCCGGTCGCGGTCCCGGCGCTCGCGCGACCGGCGGTCGTCGGTCCGGTCGCGGCGCGGGGCCCGGTCGGCCCGGTCGGCCCGGTCGGCCCGGTCGGCCCGGTCGTCGGTGGGTCGTGGGTGTCGTCGATCCCGGTCCTCACGCTTCTCGTCCCGAGTGGATCGATCTCGGCGCCAGTCGTAGCGATCCCGTCGCGGGGACGCCGAACGCTCGACTTCTCGTCGTCTCACAGGACTTCGCGAGCGTTGACTTGGTCTCGAATCGGAGAGAAGTGAAACCAAATCGTTCACTTTCGCTTGAAGCTCCTCCATGACATACCATGAGGCAGAGGAAAACACGGGAGGCTTTGATAAACCTGACGTGCTGAGGACCTGCGTAGTAGTCTTCAACAAAAGCTTTTCAACTGAGTCTCTTGTTAAAGCGGTAATTAGCTGCGGAGGTGGAAAGTGTCTGTGGATGACCTTTAACATCAGCTAAGGCCAAAATACCTCACAGCACGACACGTTTGTCTGCGGAGGTCACAGTCATCTGTGCCAAGACATTTCAAGTTCGCTGGAATCAGAAAAAAAAGCTCAGCATCTTTTTGTTTCAATCGTATCGGCCTTGCTGGAAGAGTCACCTATGATCGACTGGGAACGCAGCAAGTGGCCAACACGTCAAACAGTTGCATTCTGCAAGAGGAACAGGAAAGGTGTCTACTTCCCACAGTTGAAAGAACAAACGCCCAAATATATATAAATCTGCAGAATAACTCTTTGCAACGACACCAAAGAAGCAATACCAAGCCTGGATCTAAGCTTTCGCTTGACCTAAACGGGCAAAGCTGTGCAAAGTTGCCTTCTCAGAAGATGGAATTGCACTTATTGGGGCAATCGAAAATGCTCTCAAAGAAGAGGTTACAACAGCGAGAATGAAGAAGGTCAGTTGAAAGCCACAACACGGCTGACCTTTTGGCTCTCGCACCTGGAAAGTGCATTTGGCCCAAGCGTGAACACGTGTAAATTCCATAGGCCTGAAGAAGCAACGGCCCCAAAAGCTGGAGTAGGACAAATTAAAAGCTTAGAAAGACATAGCGAGTTGGGGTGCACCAATACAGGTTTCAATCTGTGTACTTTCTTCTCGGGCACCTCGTCCTCGTACCGCTCAGCCTCAAAAGCAAAGTGCGTGAAAAGCAACAACATGAGCTATCCTAGTAGTCAATAGGTATTCGATAGGGCTCTTGAAACACTTTTGGCATAGCTGAGCCACAGAAAGAGGAGGCTGTACCATGACTGCAAGTCGAGCACCAGGGAATGAGGCCAACTTTCGGGCCTTGCCGGAATACCAGACTCTAAGAAGGAAAAGAGCTGGAAAGAAGTGCAGAAAGCAAAAAGAATAGTCATTGGGAAAAAACTTTGTGACTTTATGTAGAATCAAATGAGAAATCAACATGTTCGGTGTTGGACTCTAGGTCGCAGCTCCTTTACTTAAGGTATGGACCATGGCAAGGGCGGTCGCCTTGGTAGTCCTGTTGAGCATGTTCAAATCTTGCTTCGTTTCTTGTGACGCTTGCCATGATCCTTGCCTGATATCAGAAGCAATGCGACTGACCATCCCAGCCTATGAGGCCGAAGCCCATGATGTCAGTGATGATTGTTGCTTTCTGTGCTTCAACACCGTCAGGCAGCATGCGCCTTCTGTACAGCATTGGCACTGAAGGTAGAGTCTGTGAGGTATATGTCAATCCTGGCAGCACAAAAGGCCTTTTTCTCTGTCACAAACCCAAGACACGGCAGCAGGACCCAATGATAAGTTTGCCTTGGGCTCCGAGCGCAGCCGTGAGGCCAACATGCTGTGGAAGGTGCTTGGAAAGCATCATGATTGGGCAAGCACCTGCGATGCAAAACGGGCGATGCAAAACTCACCAGCACCAAGGTGACAGCAGACCTCTGCTGAGGTTTCCAAAGGCTGCTGAGCCGTTCTGAGCAATCACCCTCTCTGTCCCATTGAGAGACCTTTCTCAGGCAGAAACAATACATCGCTACTAGTAGCTTCTTGTTACTAGTAGTATGGCCTCCACCTAATAGCTTCTAGTTTGTTAAAGCAAAATACAAGCAGTTCAACATACCCGGATGATATGACGAAGACACAAACACTTCTGCTTCAAGGAGCACTGCAACACCTCCACCAATCGCATTGCCGGTGATGGCAACTACCGTGGGAATGCAAAGCTCCTGGTGTGAAGCATCCACTGTGGGTCTTGAACACCTTCATTCTGCGGTCATTGATTCTGCAGTCTTTTCAGATGCCTTCATTCTGAGGGCAAATAGAGAATTCGCTGCCACTGAAGCCATCTGAAAAGGTGTAGCTCCAGCTGGAGCCACTGGATGGTGGTTGCCTTGAAGCAGAAAAGTGGTGACATTCCTTGAAACCCAAAGGACTGGGTGAGAAAAGGGCACAACCACCGTGCAAGCGCCTCCAGGGCAGAGATGAGGACCTGCTCCCTGAAGAACAGCGGCCAAAGGCGTGTGGCTCCTGGGATTTCTTGCGGAAACCTTCGGAGAAAGCTGCGCATGAACTGTGCAATGTTTGTCTCTCTGCCAAAATTGAAGGTAGCAATGTCAAACAATGTATATAGTTTATTTATTGTTTTGTTGACATGATTTCATAAGTCTGTGTTTTGCTCCTGGAAGTACTTCTTGTCAAGTGCATGTGATATGCATCCATCATCATCATGAAATCGGTGCCTTGAAAAATGAATTGTCAAAAATAGAAAACCCAAATTCAAAAGAGCTATATATATATATACAGAGAGAGAGAGAGAAGAGTTGGAGACAACAGTCCAAAAGCCGAAAGAACAGTTAGATCCAACTGACGGAGAGCAAAGTCCTTTTTAGCTCCCACCTTTACCAAATAACCTCTAAGAGGGTCAGGATGTCTGGGGGTGTTGCATTCAATAGCGGAGTTGAACTTTACCAGCTTTGCAAACAGCAAACTCGCAAAGCTTTGCTTTGCGGCTAAACTCTCAAAACCATAGCTCTGCTTAGCTCTGCTTTCAGCACAGCTTTACTGATGAGCCCCTCAGTCCATGCCGGTCAGCCCGGTCAGAGAGTTCGGATCCACGGTCCTAAGCAGGCACGGTCCTAAAAAGAAAAAAACAAATAGATAAAGGCTCTAGCGCAAAAAGATAAAGGCTCTACGGCTCTACCAGCAGACTCTACCAAGACCATTGTGAGGAAAGACCCCAATCCGCCTACTTGCTTCACTGAATGCTGCCAGAGTGCAACTGCAAGCAAATGGCACTGGTTGTCATCAAGACTCTGAACACGAAAAGCAGAGTAGGGAGGAAACAATGTTTCGCTCTCTTTGTCTTTGGACGAGATGTTTTGAATATCGCGTGCCCCCCCAAAATCCACGAGGTATGTCAATAACCCACAAGTAGCCACGTCCATCTTCTCTTCTTCGATATTTCTCTGCCAATGCATGATCCTTTGTGGTGGATTGAAATTGTCGGAAGCGAACGATTCGTTCCAAGCGAAGTGCTTCGCGGAGTTTCTGCATATTCAAAGGAACTGGTCTTTGTGTATCTCCTTTCCACACTCTCCCACCTGCATGCAAAATCCTGGATCCATCAGTAGGGCTGTAAAGTAAACAATAGATCATTCTTTGAATGAGAACTATCGCATTTGATAGGTTGTGCGATGCATCGCAGTTCAATGTATTGTTGAGTGCCCGGTAGTAGAGCGAGTAGTCTAGGCCGGTGACCAAGCTGATTCTGCGCCCCAGCTTTTGGTGCGTTGTGTACAAATAGAGAGAGCCATCTTCGTGCTCATCAAACTGTTTCAGTACTGAGTTCAAAGCATCTGAGGTAACCTCAAATGGTTCACCATCTGCGTCCTCAAGCTCTTGAAGCCATTTTCTTAAGCTAATCTTGGCATCCTCTTTGGACACAAAATTGACATCTCCAACACCCTTGCTGCAAGGATAGAGCGAGGAAAAATGGGATGACAAGAAACCATGGGTTGTGCAAAGCGCCGAATACTCCTTGTCATTCACAGGTGCGAGAAATGCTGACCAGCAACGGAAGGATTCAGAGTTGTCAGCTAAAGTCACGAGCATCCCCTCAAAGCCCCGGCGCAAACCATTTTGCCCCTCACTAGAGCACTCGTTCACCTCCTGCACAATGCCCCGTCGTTGCCAATTGGCACCTCGCTGAAAGCATACGACCTTTTCACCTTCTTCTGGAGGATTCTCTGGAGAATAGAAGCCCGCACGCTTTGCTTGGGTAATCGAAAAGGGACCCGCAAATGCGACATTTCCGAAGTATGGCAGCTCGGCACTGGTCCACTCCAGGTCCTCCAAAGCTGCACATGCAGCTGCCAATACCTCTTGCGGAGACCCTCGTCCATCTATTCTAGAAGTCTTGCCCTCAAAGGACGGCAAGATTGATTGAACATGTTGATTGTAAGTTTCAATCCGTTGCTTCACGGATTCTTCTTGATCATCGCTTCTTTGTACAAGTCGGAAAGCAATCTCCTCTGGTGGCGGCCGGAATTTCAAGTGATAGATTCGTCCAGTGAGGGGATCCAACCGACGCAGCGTGGAGCGAACGACCAGATCCTCTTCAGGAACGTCCATGAACAGCAGCTTCTCAACGCGAAAATGCCTCGTCAGTGCTGCTGCCTGCTCTGCAGTGAGTGGAAAATTGTCCAAGAGGCAACCCCGATTCAGCACATCTGGCCTGCACAAGCGTTCCTGGACAATCTCCATCACTAGCTCATGAGGAACCAGCATGCCTTTTGTCATGTACTGCTTCACCTGAGGCCAAAAACCAAGCTGCTTCGCCAGCTTATAGGAATGGGAAACAAAAAGACACCATTTTGGAAACACTCGTGACAACAAGGGTTTGTTGGCGTTTGGAAGCCCGCTTTGCCTGCAGACCCAATTCACTTTCTTTGCTCACTTCGTCTCTCAAGATCTGCCCCGGTGAGATGTGCACAAGGCCATATCGCTTTTTTAAGCCATCGCACACCGTACCCTTCCTTGGGATCAGCTTGTAAGAACATTTATATATATATATATACATTCATGCAAGTGGACATTTCTTCTCATCAAGAAAATGTTCATCCGCAGATGTCACAAGAAGTGCATCCAAGCTTCCCAGCAGCTGGAGGACCAGCCACAAGGATGACGTGCCAAGGTTGAACCATTTTGGAACAACCAGGGACAACGCGCTTACATGATAACAGCTGGCCCATTCCGGACCTGCAGTTCTGTGAAAATGTGCAAACATGCAATCCTTAGCTGAAATCAATGCATTGGAGAATGACCTTCAGCAAAGCCAAACCAGTTTGACGAACTACCTTGCTAGAAGCAACAGCCAGCAAAGTACGCATCTGTTGCGGCCTTTGCACATTATACGTTGGCAAAATGTCTGCATGCAAATCTATATACAGCATGTTTGTATATATCGTGGTCACTACCATTGTTGTTGCCTACACAGTTGGCCCTCTGTAGATATTCACTTGGTCCGCAGCTGCAGCAAGTCACACAAACAAAACATGCACGGTGAAGACCTAAGCAGCCACACTGTTCAAGGCCCTAAGGGGCTGGCAGAGCACTGGGTCAAGCATGTTGAAAGTGTGCTTGCTGTTCAGCTCCTGTGAAATGTTCCCAAACGAAAAAAAAGGCATGGCGTTCAATCCTCAAGAACTTCTGTCCAGCAACATCACAGGTGGTGAAGTCGGAGAGAGAAGGGCACGGCATTTTGTCTCCTGAGACGGGCACGACATGTTGACACTCGGCATGAACAAAACACATTTATGGACCAAGCAGTAAGCCTCCACTTCAGAAAAGCCTTCCAGGCCGAAATTAGACTGCCACGAATGGGCCATGCCCCACCAGTATGCCTGACAGTTCATGCGTTTCAAGCTTGCAAAGTGCCAGAACAATTTCCAAAAAATCTAACGGCCGCACTCTTGTGTAAGAACCAACGTCGTTGACATCTGTCATCCTGCGACAGACACACGTACATGTTGAAGTCCCTTGCCCATACTGACTGTGGTTCTAGCTGTCCTATGATATTGGCTTGGCAAAAGACCAGTCCCAATCAGAAGCCTCACCAGCTGATTGTTGGGAAAATCATGTTTATCTGCAGCAGTACATCAAAATGATGCCTCTTCCGACTTCCATTGTCCTTGAGATCCTTGTGGCTCTCCTGCCTGCAAAAATATTTTGCGTTCTAGCTGTTTCAATTGTGAATTGAATTGATGCCAGGTGTGCTCAAGCTGGTCATTCGCATCCGCAATCTGGCGTCTCCGAGCATCAATTTCCTTAGCATCAGAAAAGTCACTGTAGAAAGGTAGAGCCAATGCTTTGCCAAGGCTCCGCTCTGATCAAATACTCATAATTCTGGAAAGGGGCACCCTGCATGCAAGTCAAACGAAGGAACTAGGGATCGAAACAACCAGCAGAGCATCTGTAACGATTTCAAAGCTTTCATCCCAATGCAAGCAATGCGTGCCAACCGTTTGAATCATTTTTGGGACTCACACCTTCCCAGCAACCATGGCCACTTCCAACGTAAGGTGTTTTAGCTGGTTAATACTCAATGTATGGAAAAAAAAATTGGTTTTGCCATGAATGTGTGTCTGTTCATCATTAACTTGCACAAGAGTTTGCATATTTGAGCCATGGTGAGACTGCAGTGGCAAATTAAAGAAGGCATCAATGTTTCTGTATGTTTTGGTGAAGTTGTGGTTTTGGAGAAGCCGAAACATGTGGATGTGATGTTAACCAGTGGCACACGTCCTTTTGTCACATGTTCATGCCCACTTGCAAGTCTTCTTGGTCACACTAATTACACCAGGCTAAGTAAATGGCACAAGCAAGACCAAACCAGTTGAGGAAAAAAAACATCAGTGGGAAAGCGCGTTGTGCCAAAAAACATAGTGTGTGTGGTACCAATTGCACCAAAAAACTTTTTAGCCGCTCAACGTAGGGCACGCAGTATGTACAACTGATGGAAGTGTGTTCCTGCAAACCTTTTGGGGCAAAGAGGGCCGCCGAAATGCAAGTCATCAGCAAACATCGGATTGGCACTGGCTCCATGCACTGCTTCGGCCCCCGTCTCTTCTTCCCGCCAGCGGCACGGTCAAACCAAAAACAGGCACAAAGTGTGCAACTGGCTTCATGTGCATGTGTCTTTTCCCATTCGCCATGGTCGACGTGGTCTGGAACACATGCGCCACGTGTCTACGTGTCTTTGAACACAAAACAAGACCCGATGCATGCCTGTTGAAACATGGGCAGCTTGAACATGTGACCTCTCCCACCCACCTTGCATCGCACTTTGCATGTGGTTGCCAAATCCCACTCCTTTGGATGGGCAAACAGCCTACAGCATGATGCAACCACAAGCTACAGCACCTAGGTTTTGGAAAGGTGTCCTTTGGAAACACGAACGGCACCATTGAACAGTGGGCCACCGGGCCACGACTGCGGGATTCGAAGTGGTGAGTCTAAAAGAGGCATCGGACCTGCAGCGTATTGGCTATCGCATCTTCGCAATCGGGCATCTTCCGGGCTCAAAAGCCGACTTCTACTCCTGCCATACGAGGCCTGCTTCATCATAACAAGGCTTGCCTTGCCATGCGCAGATGGCCGACAAGGCTTGAATAAATGAAGGTTGATTGCCATGATCTGCTTAAGTCAATGTCTTCGTGGACCTTCACTCTGCAAAGTATATGATTTCATTTGCTTGAATCTTCCCCGCATGTTCACACTAATTTGTCTAGGCCATCCAAATTCGACGTGTGTTCAATGAAGCATGCACTGCCAAAACTACATATTATAGAATATTAGACCCCTGTACCAAACCATTTCCTCCACCGACCCACTCATTTTACGGAAAACACCCTCTTGACTCGTCTCGGTTGCACGGCGGCCCAAGCGGCAGGTCTCATGGGAGATCCCAAACTTCAGCAGATCCTGTTCGAAGATCTCCTTGGCCTTGGCGTAGACGGGACGATCCAGCTCGTCCACCCAGCCATTGAGGATCCTCGCAGCGAACGCATGACATGCATCACATGCGGAGCCGAACGCGCCACGTTCAAAGCCCAACTTGGGTGGTGTTTCGAAAGACCAAGCTGCGGCAAGAATATGGTCACTCTGAAAAAATGAAAACGCAAACTTGGGCGGGCTCACAAATCCGAAAAGTGAGCACACTGTAAAGAAAAAGGTTATATGTGATGGTTTTTCCGCCCGGCAAAATCCGACCTGTTTCGAACCGAACACTTCGCCAAGCCGGCTGGGCCGGATGTTTTCGAAGTCGACAGGGAGGCAGGGGCCACCGAACTTGGCGTGGAACAAACACACGGACAGTTCCTCGGCATCGCTACTAGGGGCTCCTGGCCTTACTACTAGGAGCAAGAAGCTGCTAGGAGCAAAGGGCATCGCTACTGGTAACAAGGAGCTATAAGGGGCTCCTGGCATCGCTACTAGGAGCAAGGACGCTACTAGGGGCTCCTGTTCCTCGGCGGAACTGCGGATTTGAAAACGGAGTGGTCCACAGCACCGGTCCAAGTAGCCTGTAAGATGTTTCTGCTGCTGTTGCTTTGGGGGATGGCAAAGAACCACACCAAGGGAGTGTTGGTTGAGGAAAGGAGGTATGTAAAACCCGCACAACCCAGTGGTTTTGGGGTACCTCAACCATCGGTAAACCTTTGAGCTCGACTCTGAGATCGTTTCAGCAGTCTTTGAGACCACAGATTTATTCCAAAGAAAGTCTGCAAATGATCAGGTGAAAAGAACTAGCACAGTTCACTTGCGAAATGGCTTGAGACGCTCCGCGCAGCCCAGGCACCTAAACAGCATTGTGATTGGCATTGCAAATACCTATATTATCTTATTGAACCCTAGGCCGAATACCTGCTATCCCGCTATCCCCATTTCCTTAAACATGGTCTTGGCAACAAGGCCTTCAGCCTTCATACAATCAACCTGGTGAATATGTCCCTTCAAAAGAAATAGACCTCTGCAATCTATTTCGATCTCTGCTCTCCAAGACTCCCATTCTTCTTGCAGGCCCACGAAAGCAAAGCCATGTTCCAGCCGTTCAATGGCCTTCGGCACATCTGCTGCAGTTAAATCCAGCTTTCCCACCAGCTGCCCTGTCTCATACCTTGCCCATTTTTGGATGAAGACCTGACAGTGTTTCACCCGCCCAGCATTTTTTCCAGTGCGCGACTCTTTAAGCTGCCCTGCAGAAAAACCAAGCAGTCTGAAAAGCTGTGGGAGCTAGAAAAAGCGTTCTCGGTGTCAAAGCTGAAGAACAACCCAGGCTACGCACCGCTCTATGCACCCCTCCAGATGCTCTAGACTCGCTCCGCTCCACTCTCTACGTGTTCTGAAACAACGACCGCCTCCATGGGCATTTCCTGGGTCATCGTCTCAGTCGAGCACACGGGGATGTAATCCGGAAAGGCCCGAAACAGGTCGTCGTCGTCATAGTAGGCCGAGAGCAAGCGCTGCTCTGGTTGACGAAAGAGCCCAACCAAGTGGCCTTTGTGTTTCTCATACATCCAGTCCACCAAAACTGATGAGCGATCTCCGGTGGCCAGGTGCAATGGAGGAGGTTCCTGTCGCACATTACTGGGCAGCTGGCACGAAAACCCGCCTCAAAGCACGTCCCAAAGACGGACTTGTTGCCGATGCTGAGATTCATTGGAAGGCTTGGACACATGCGTGGCAGGTGCGTCACCACGTTGTAGAAACTTGCACCGCACTTTGGGATGTGGAGTCAAAACATGGGCGAAGATTTCAACCTGGAGCTCATTGGCCGTAAAAACAGCGGAGGGATTGGAGCTACAAAGGTGGAACTAACATGCAGTCTAATGACAGAGACAAAGAACTGCTGAACATTCGTCGTTGCACGCAGGTGCAGTAAGCTGATCCGGCTTCGCTTGAACGCACAAGTACGAGGGTCTAGTGAGACACATCCAAAAGAAGGCATGCGCATAGTAGCACAAAACAAACACAAGTGCGCGTGTACAAACCCACTATAGACTCTAGACCGACCAGTGTCGGGATTTTGCGGTCCGAGGTGCCGTCGAAGCTCCGGGGTCTCTACCTCCAAACTCCTTTGCAAAAGGTCCGTTGATTGGCAGTCCTCCAATTCTTCGGCCAGGGAGAATGAAATGAGCGCCTCAGCTTTGCCGAATCGGACCATCTGGACACAGCTAGGCTAGGCCCAAAACCAGTGTGGAATATCCGCTGCTTGTTGTTTATGGATGGAAAGAAAGTGAAGCTTCTCATCGATTACTGTACAGTAATGTGAAAAGCTGCTGGAAGAAGACATAAAAGAAAAAGGAAAGCTGATTGTTTGTGCACAGCAACAATGAAAAGCACGTCATGGGCTTTCATTCTTTCAAATTCCACCAGGAGGCGCAGTACGGTATCATTCGCAGAGCCGACATGGCTGCAGCATCGTTTTCACGAAGCATTTCTGGCATTCCCTGACTAACTCGTACATTGAAGCTGAAACCGTGGCTCCAAACTCCAGCAATGCGGGAAGGCGTGTTCCGCAGTGAGTTTCTGAAAACTTCAGGTTTACCAAAGAACTGTAGTTTCAATTGGATTCCCTTGTCTTCTACACGGTATTCCAGCCCAGTGCGTCTCATCTACTTTGCCCTCACCACATCGCGCCACATCACCCTTCTTTTGGGCTACAAGCCTTCGAACAAAGCCTCCAAGGGCTCTTCCACCTCTTCCACCTCTTCAGTCCTCACCTCCCCACTCCCGCCCGCACCGTTCGCGGCCGGATCGGCCACGTGCCAGTCGGCGGCCGCGTCGGCGGCGCGCGGGGTGCCCGGTGGGGAGATGCAAATCCAATGGCCATCGTCTCCAGCCTCATTCAGCGGCACATCCACCTGTCGAGCTGAGGCGGAGACCGATCTCATCCTTCATGTTCCCTTTTTTCGGCTCCAGAAGATGGGTGTGTTTTGGGACAGGTGTGTTTAGAAATTACCCATATATATACAAATATATAGTCCAGAGTCTAGATCTCCTCAAAAGGGAAAATAGACCAAAGCCCAGATTAATTCATTCTTTCACTGTTGAAGAACTTGCAGCTCGACTGGAAGGCATCTTCCACCTCTGCTCTTTGGCTGGTCTTCATTGTTCAATGGTTTTTCCTCTTCTTTTTTGACGCCTCCGATCCCACCTCGACCTGCAAGAACTTCCCCACTGCATCAATCAAATACGGGTTTCCACACGCCAAGGCAGTGATGGAACGCAGGTGTTCGACCGCCGTGTTCAGCTTCCACCCACATTCGCTACACATCCAAACTAAGATTGCTGCTGCACTGCGGTTCTTACCTTACAGTGTTTGCTTTGCGGAGGTCTATAGCTTCCAGATCTATCAATTGAATCTTGAAGTCTTCTGCGCTCTAAAAATGAACAAATTGGACAAACACAACAAACAAAACAACAAACATTAAGAAACACATGCAAAAAAGAACCACGCACGCAGGAACACAAATGTCTGGTCATAATTGGGGTCCCGTCGACCCATTTGGCAGCTCACATTGACGCGAGCACCTTCGTCGCGCAAACTTCGA